AAACGGAAGTGGGTGTAAAAGTGGGATGGAGGGAGTACACTTGAGATCGCAAATCGATCGGTCAGTTGGGGTTCAGTTTTGGTCATTTTAGATTGGGATTACTTCGAGTTTGGTTCTATTCGGGTTCAGGTTGAGAACTTTGTGTCCATGACTCAATGTCATTAGGTTCGGATCAACCCAACGAGTTATGATTTTGTTTTTTGAAATTTCTAAATTCATATTAACACTAGCATTATGCATTGAACAAATATAAAAAATATATACGGAGTATTAAATTATAAGATTATTTTATTTTAAAAATTGAAGTAATTTTTAGATATAAAAATCAATACAAAACACTAAAAAAGGCATATTTTTTGGAAAAAGTAAGATAATTATGTCATATCATTAAAATTTTGTCCGAAAATATAAATTTATACACAAAAAACGAGTTGTAAAAAAATAAAAATATAATCATAACCTTATTTTTATACCATTATATTTTATAGTAAAGTATATAATTTTTAAGTTTTTACATTTGTAGGTCGGGCAAGTTGGGTTTGGATTCGGTCGGGTTTGACCCACTTTTAACGGGTCATTTCGGATTTTGTCAACTTTGAGTTCGGTCATCAAAATCTTTGTTCAAGATATAGTATTTTGAGGTCGGGTTTCAGGTAAAAAACAAGTCAGGTCATTTTTTGTCAGGTCTACAATTTTGTAGTATTTTTTGGTGATATCAAAATGCGTTATGGACATTACACACTATATTTTAATGATGAAAACATAAAGGTCCTATTTTGATTCTTTCTACTCCCTCCGTCCCAGAAAACTTTTCTTCTTTCTTTTTTCATCCGTCCCAAAAAACACTTCTCATTTCTATTAAAAAGTTACTTTTACCCCTTACTTTTTCATACTCTACCTATCACATCATACATTTTTACTAAAAATCTATCCATCAAATCATACTTTTACCAATCACATCAAAGGACATTTTTGGAAATTCAATACCAAAATACACTCCCCTTAAATCCCTCTCCAAAACTAAAACTCCCATGTTTTCCGGGACGGAGGGAGTATATATTTTACTTTAATCTTAGAGTTCTCCCTAAAGAATACTCCATGGATCCTAGTTTAATTTCTTAATTTTTTTAAGGAAATCGTACAATTTTAACTTCTTATAGGCTTCATTTGGAAAGAAAGAAATTGATATCTAGAAAATGAATTCCAAAAAATGAATTAATTTTCAAAATCATTTTTCTTTCCCATCTTTTTTTAGCATTTGACGACAATTGATAAAATCCATAAAACCAGAAGAAAAATTGTCTGGCAAGAAGAGGGAGAACGAGTGATGGACAAAAATTCCACCCACATACCCGATCGGGAGATTGATTGGGTCGAATTATTATTAAATATTTAGAGCGATAGCACAATGTAGTTTCTAAGATTTGCTTGAGAGAGCTAGTGGCGTCTCTCCCCTATTTATAGGGTTCCAATTGTACATATAGGGTTCCAAAAATTTAAATTTGGGTTTACACTTCTTGTCTTCATTTCTTTTTCGCCGCGTATTTGGCGTACTCCACGGGGTGCCTCGCTCTTAGTTGTTTTTCCGGACCACCATAACCCTAAGAAATTTCCATTTTTATGACGGTCCCACAATAATTACAAGTTCCAAAAACTTTGCCATTTTTGTATCTTTTGTAAAATGATAAACAAATAAATCAGATTTATATTTTTTTCTACCTTTTCCTGGACCTTCAGAGGTCTTGGGCTCACCTGCCTCCTCGTCGGCATCGGTAGGAATGTAGGATTGTTGCTCTCGGGTGTAGGCTCCACGTCCATTTCTGCTTCATCAATGTCCTCGAATATATCTTCAAGAGTTTGAAAATTGGTGTCTGTTCCACCTCCCTAATACTGTTCAAATTCTTGATCCGTCATATCGTCGCCCACGAATTGATGAGAGATAGTAGGGAAGGAAGAGAAAGAGTGTCTTCCCTGAGAATCACATGAGCTCGAACCTTTAGAGGTAGCTTTAACTTTGCCTTTCCTCGAACCTCAGTTCACTGCGCCCATATCTACGGATCTTCTATCGGACTCTTTTGACATTTTAATATATTTTTATATTGATAAAAAGGACTATATTAGATATTTAAAATATTAATTATATAATATATTTTGAATTTCGAAATTATAATATTAATTTATAATAATATAATATATTAGTAATATATGAATATATGACTAAAAATTTAATATTAGTATATATTTATATTTTATATGATATATATTATTATATGAATATAAAACGTATAAAGAGAGATAATAGAGAGGAGATTGAGAATTTGAGATTTGAGAATGTGAGAGTGATATTTAAAAAAAAATTAGGAGTTTATTTATAATGAAAAAACCCCCCAAACCCCCCCCCCCTCACTCAAACGGCATTATAGCCGTTGAGTGAGGCTCCCCCGCGGCCCACTTTTGCTCTACAAAGCAACAAAAGGAAAAACAATAAATTGATACCGGAACCGGTGCTAGTACCGCCGGTGCCAGTACCGAAATATTGGCACCAGAACCGGTACCGTGCGGGATGATTTCGGTACCGGTTCCCGAAACCGAAAAAATGGGTCCGTCGTCGGTGACGGTGGCGTTACCGGTGCCGGTGACGGTGGCGTTACCGGTAACGGTACCATACCAGTATTGTGTCCACCCCTACCTTGTTGTTGATTGCCCTTTTCTTCTCTTGTGACTAGGCCTGGATGTTGCCGATGAAGCCTCCCTCCCCTCCTAGAGTTTCTCCCGCAGATCTCCCTTTCGGGACAATCAATTTTCATACAACCGATCGAATGCGGAGGTCTGGGGTTTTTTCTGCTTGGGGTCCCCCAACCTTTCAAAGGAAGAGGTACGTTTGAACGATGATGAATCACATTCCTCATCCAACCTTCAGCGACGGCTTCTCCATTGGGCTTGGTCGCCCTCTTTTTTGGGAACATCGTGTTTTCTTCTTTTTCTTTCTATCTGACCCTTCAAACCCGGCTTTCCCTTTGGCGCGTTCCTCTGTTACATCGTCAATGACAATCTCCCAATGTGGAGTGAGGGCGGCCACAACTTCCTTGAATTGCTCAGAGGTGATACCGATTCGTTGAATGAGGAGTTCGGCCTCCGCCACGCTGATAGGGATGTGGCGATCCCCAGTGGCGCTACCTTCCTCTTGATGAGGGTTTCCCGTGGGTTGGTTGGCATTTCTACGTGTTTTCACATTGTTTCGTAGGGGTTTTTCCTGAGCTATGTCTCTCGAGCTCTCAATGAAAGTACTTGTTTGATGGACATGAATTCCACCAACAGACCCTATCCGGAGATTGGGTCGAATTATTATTAAATATATAGAGCTTGAGAGTACAGTGTAGTTTCTAGGTTTTGCTTGAGGGAGCTAATGGCGTCCTCCTATTTATAGGGTTCCAATTGCACATCTTAGGAAATCAACAAATAAGGAATCAAAATCGTGCATGATTCTCCACCGATCTATAAACGTTGTCGCTTTCCCGTACCCTAGTTGCACGCTCCCCCTTGGTTGCGTGTCCACCAAGAATAGGTTATTTCGCATGCCAGGTCAGCCTAGGCCCAACCTTCCGTCTCCAGTCCGAGATCTTGAGCAGGCTCCGCATGGCTGTGTAGGTTGTAGAGGGCTTTCGGACTGGACTGCCTGACTAGGCCATCGACCCATCACAAGCCCCCCAACTCCGCATGCCTCAAGATGGGCCATTTCGAGGAATGAGGAGCTGTTCCGCATGTCGATTGCGGGTTACTAGGTCTAGGCCGCCTATCTTCATTAATTTGACGGCAGGGCACGATCCCTAGTACCATCATCATTGCCCACGTAGTATAGTGCTTCTTTCCTCATAACCTATCTGAATTGCGTCCCTGTTCCTCGACCCGAGTTTCCATCCCTCAAGTTAGATGGAAACTCGAGTCGAGTAACGGGGACACAATTCAGAGATGTGAAGGGGAAAGAAGCACTATATGACGGCAAGGCGGTTTTATTGAGATTGAAAAGGAGTGGAAACAGTGGGAAATGATGATGGTACTGGGGATCGTGCCCCGCCGTCAAACCAATAAAGATAGACTGCCCAGACCGGTAACCTACAATGGACACGCGGAAGAACTCTTCATTTCTAAAAATGGCCCATCTTGAGGCATGTGGAGTTGGGGGGCTTGTGATGGGCCGATGGCGCAGTCAGGCGGTCCAGTCTGAAAGCCCTCCGCAACTTACACAAACTAGTGGAGCCTGCTGAAGATCTGGGCCTGGAGACGGAAGATTGGGCCTAGGCTGACCCAGCTTGCAAAATAACCTATTCTTGGTGGACACACAAACAAGGGGGGAGCACTGCGGCTAGAGTACGAGAAAGCGGTGACTTTTACGAATCGGTGGAGAATCATGCACGATTTTGGATCCTTATTTGTTGATTTCCTAAGATGTACAATTGGAACCCCATGATAAGGGAGGGACGCCATTAGCTCCCTCAAGCAAAACCTAGAAACTACATTGTACTCTCAAGCTCTAAATATTTAATATTAATTCGACCCAATCTCAAGATCGGGTCTGCTAGTGGTGTAACGTCCTAGAAATCGGGCTAGAAGTTAATCAATAAATAAATAAATAAATAAGAATTATTTATTTACGACAATTTTTTCTTTGAAAGAATTAAAAGATACATTGGAGATTCTAATAGTCCGAATGTATCGTGACTGATCTGATGTAAATGTTAAGATTTAAATTAAAAAACTGATCGGTATTAATTAACTAGAAGAATTAAGACGGACCATGTGGAACCTATAAATGCTTGTGGTTTGATTTTAAAATTGATATCGTTGGGTAAGGATCGACGAATCGAATCTAACGACGCGAATGAATCTCAATTCGGAGCAAGTTAGCCCGAAAAGTATGTTTTACTCAGACAGGTTATTTTAAATTGGAGTACAATACCCTAGGCTATATAAAAAAAAAGTTTCGTTGCCTCTCCCTTCTTCTTCCCCGATCGAGCATCAGCTACGACGGACCGGCGAATTCCCTGGTGCGGTGACTGAGCAATGTCTGGAGGCCCCTAATTGCATCAGCGAACCCAGATGGCTGACCTACAGCGTCGGTGATCTCGGCTGTGACGACTTCCGACGGTGACTCTGCCACGTCGGCGAGTTGACCCAGCGGCGGACGGCATCCCCTTCTAGCGACGATCTCCGACAGTGGCTAGGACGAGCGATTCCAGCAATTCTGGCGAGCAGCAGCGATAGAACTCTGACGACCCTCTCGAGCAGTGGCGACTAGGGTCGGGGCAACGCCATCTTGGACCGCAACTCCAGCGACCTTCGAGGGACAGTGTAGGACTCGAGAGCAGCGGCGGCGGCAGAGGCTGGACCCACCAGCGACTTCCAGGCAGCCGACCATGCTCCGGCGATTCCCACAGCGATGATGGTGGGAGCGAGGTCCGGGTTGATTTTGGCGACGAGGCAGGATCCGGACAGCGGGGAGTACCTCGATGATCCCGGGAGTTGAAGAACACGGCCTGAGCAGCAGCAATAGCGCCCCGACAACCTCTAGACAACATCGGGTAATGTGGGCTAACGCCAATAGTGGAAATCGAGCAGCGGTCACGACCTACGTCGATGCTTGATCGACATCAGATTGAATTGGAACGAATCTAGGTGAGTACGTGGATATATAACCCTATAATATGCATCTAGGTTTGAAATTCTGTTCATAATTGTTATCGTGGTTGATCTATGTGATTTATCTGTGTGAATGTTGATTGTGGTTTCGGGAATTTTTTTCGTTGAACCAAAAAGGGTAGTATGCATGATTTAGGCGTTGATTGAAGAATTAATGTGCTTGATCGTGTTTGAAATGTTAATAGGGACCTATTGGTGTTTGTTATTATGAGATTGTTGTTGGTTGATGCTGAAAAACAAAATAGGTGTAAATATGGAAATTGTTGCGTCAGACGGTAGGCGTTACCGCCAGGAAGGTACCGTGATGGCGTGATACTGTCACACTCTGTTGGTTGCTTTCGCCTTTTCCGGTAGCTGCAACCGTACGGTACCTAGGTACCGGACAGACGGTAGGCCCTACCGCCTGGTTGGTAGTCGGCTACCATGGCAATCCTGCCGGAAGGGCTCATTTGATTTGAAAGGTACCCCTGGTACCGTAGGACCGGTACCCCGTACCGTGACAGGTACCGTCTGGTACTTGATACCGGGTCTGTCGATTTGTGTTTTCGTCGAGGGAATTGATTCCGAGACTTCATGTGAGCATGACGGTAATCGGTGAGAAGTGATTCTTCTGATATGCCGCTGAGTGTGTTGTTCTGTTTATGGAAATGTTTAAGTGTTTGTTACCACTTGGGAATTCTGTTGGAAATTGGCCATCTAGTATACCTAGGCAGATCTGAACTGAATTTGATAGTTTAAACACCAATAGGATTGTTGTTAGGTTCAGGCCTTGTGGAGCATGTTTGCATATCCAGTGGTCCAGAGTTCAAAATGTACGTACGAGAGTCACTGTTCTACCTAAGGGATTCCTTGGGAGGGACTCCAACCCGCCCATTGAGGATTCTCTTTAGGTTTGTCCGAGCATCGGCCTCGAGGGATCCTCTCGAGCATTCGTAACTCTAGTCTGTTGATTTAAGCCTTAGTGTTGTAGGGACAGAATTAGCCCATTGAGAATAAATGAATTGGAACTGTTGGATCCTTGTAACTGAAAATAAATGTTGAGTATGCATGTTATATCTTATATGTCGTATCATTGTTGTCAAGCATGTTGTGTGCGTGATATCATGTGATTATCGTGAATTAGTGGATTCGCCTATGTGTATGTTCGAACTGTTAGATATTTTTCACTCAGCTTCGTTGCTGAGCGTGTAGCCCCTTGTTCCCCTTTGTTACACGTAGGTGGTTGTGGAAGATTGATTCTAAAATCTATCCCGGAAAGCAGCAGGACAGAGGAGATGTACAGATGCAGGAATTTAGTAAAGTTGATGTTTTGATTAAATTATAGGCTTCTGCACTATTTGTATAAACTCCGATATGTATTTAAATTATTTGAATGGTTTGAGTTTTAAATTAAATGTTTTAGTTTATTAGAAATATTGTATGTATGTGGATACCAATTTAGTAGCAATCCGGTTCGCTTATCTATTTATTCGGGTTGGGGTGTTACAAGTGAAATTCTTGTCCATCGTTGAGAAAGACAATACATACCAAATCAAAGCCACCAAGCCGCTCCTCTAGATTTATGGAGAAGGTCACTTAGGTTCCAACTCTAGCGGAGGGAGAGAATTAGCTCTTTGTGGGCCAAATAGCACTAGTGCCCCCTGTAGTTTAGAAAGTTGGTTCCAATTCTCCCACTATTTTCGAAACTTATTTCTAAAGTCCATGTGGTTTTAAAATGTTGCACCCACACCCTCTTCTGATTGTTTCCCAATCATTTTCTGGCAAAGAGGGAGCATTGGTGTTTATTTTCTAAACCATAGGAGCCGAGGGCACACGTGTTCATTACTTATTTTGCGTTTATTAATTTGTTTTTTTTTGAACTTTTTTATATCTTTGTTTTCCTTTCCTAGAAAAGTCTTTTAAACTTCTTTTAAAATCTTTATTATGTTTTTAAAAGTTCAAAATTCTTTGTGTTTGAAATAATAAAAAAATTAACATACAATCCATCTATCTTAAATTAAAAAATTTAACTTTCTTGTTTTTGGTTAGTTAAAAAATAAAATCAATAAATAAAAAATCAAAAATACAAATATAGAAAAACAAAATGAAAAAAAATGAAACATCTAGAAAAGAGTCTTATATAAAAAATGAATTTTTAGAACGCCTATAAAATTCGTTAGAATTGGGATGTCCAACAAGGATATTCATTTCATATTTTTTATTTATTTTTATTTCTTATTTTATTCCTCATTTTTCGAAGTTCTCAAAACATGTTCTGAATTTTTTTAGAAAATAAAAAGTAAAAATATTAATTTGAGATGTATAGATGCAATATATGTTAAATTTTTTTAAACTAAAATTATTTTAAATTTTAAGAAAATTATAAACAAAAATTAAAAAAAAAATTAAAAAAACTTTATTATTAAAAGGAACAAAAAAGAGAAAAAACAAAAAATACAAAATGAGCACCAATGCCCATATGGTTTGGAAATTAGACATCAATCCTCCCTTTTTCACCATAAAAATAGCCAGAAAATGACCTGATGGGTTATGGATGCAATGTTTTTAAACCACAAGAATTTTAGAAATAAGTTTTCAAAACAAAAGATATTGGTTCTTATTTTCCAAACTACGGGGGATACGGGTGCTATTTGGCCGCTCTTTGTGCATTATTAAGTTGAAAAAAGCATGAACATATACTATATTGTAATCGTGTCAATAGCACTAAAAAACCACTAAACCACAAGAAATTTGTCTCTACAGTAAGAAACAAGAACTGAAAAAGATTAAAGTATAAGTAGAAAATTAAAAATATATCAAAATAGGAGTTCCCTGTTTTGTTCCTGAAATAGGAGTTAAAATGCATATACAGCGTCAATTATGATCATATACATTACCAAAAAGTATTGTGAATGTTTATATGCAGTGCCACAATCCCACAGTGCAAACTCTTATTTTAGAGATAAAAACATGGAACTCCTATGTTTTAGTATTTTCCCTATGTTTTACTCCTTTACAAGATAATATCTAAAAGAATACATCGTTGTTGCCCAATAGGCAAAAAATTTTCCAACAAAAAGTTCCAAATTGTCTTGTCAAATCATTGAATAATAAAAATAGTTGGACGATTTGCAGCGTAAGGCAACTATTGGTCCGTTCCGTAGGACTTATATTTTTACTTATTACTTATTCTTATTAAAATCAGATCAGATCTAATCAGATCAGACTAGATCCAATCAGATCAGATCAGATCCAATCAGATCAGATCCAATCAAATCAGACCAGATCCAATTAGATCAGATCAGACCAGATAAAATCCAAGAATATCAAATTAGGAAAAAATATAAAAAATATTTATATTTTTCAAGGACTAAATAATAATTACTGTTATTTAATTAAATCGCATTACCTTATTTGAAGCTACACACGCCTAAATGTTAATTAATATTATAATTTTAACTATTATTATTGTTATATTATTATTATTTTTATTATTATATTTCAACTACAAACCATTATTTTTAATAATTGCTCAACTTATAGGAATGACACATGGAAGCAATTTTAAAGCTTAAAAAATTGTATTTTTCATACTTCAAAAAGAGCTGTTTTAAAATACATATTTATAAAATAATTATACAAAAGTTAGTTTTCAAAACCATAAATATGTTGTACTTAAAAAGACTTACTTTTAAACTTTAAGATCATATAAAATATACAATGGAGAGTTTATGAAAAAATTGATAGAGTAAAAAGAAATATTAGTGTTTAAGATTTTATATGATACTCCCTCCTTCCCCAGTTTTTGTCTACTTTTGATTTTTGGAATTGTTCATCTAAGCATTTTGACTCATCAAATTCTCTCAATGTGTAAGCCTAAATATAGTCATGTGTGATCTTGTTTGATTTGTCTTAACATGTAGATTATTAATATATAATTTCTATAATTTTTTAATATACAAATTACAAGATAAAATGAATTAAAGAAGTACGTTGGATGGTGTGTAAAAATGAAAGTGGACAAATACTCTAGGACGGAGGGAGTATTTAATTTATAACATGAAATATATTATTATGTAATATGCATACTGAATGTATTTTTAAAAAAAGCATCTACGTTTTCTAATATTTGGTTATTTAATGCCGATTATTTAGTTTTCACAAAAATTCAAAAAGTAGTGATACTGAAAAGATGTTTAATTCATTTACACAAGATCTAATTAGATAAAATTAGATCCAATCAGATCAGATTCAATCAGATCAGATCAGATCTAATCAGATCAGATCAGACCCAATCAGATCAGATCAGATCAGACCCAATCAGATCAGATCAGATTAGACCCAATCAGATCAGATCATATCCAACCAGATCGGATCAGACCCAATCAGATCAAAATAGATCAAAACTTCAAAAATTCAGATCAGACCTACGGAACAGAGCCTATATAAGAGATTTTCGATGGTAGTTATTTGGCGGTAACTATAACACCCCAATCAAGTATGCTCATAGGATCATTAATTGGCTCATAGGATCATTAATTTTGTTCTTACTTGTGTGCATTTAGGAAACTTTTGAGGAGGACACCCATCTTAAAATTGCTTCAAGTAAAGCAAGCTTAACTTTAGAGTTTTTAAATAATAAGATATCGAAAAGAAGATTATCTTGTTGGTATGAGTAGTATTACCAATTCTTTTAAACTCTTTTAATTCCATGTTGTCACGGGGTATTCCAGTGATGGCGACGGCTGCCTTGTGGGTTTATGGTAGTGACAATGCTTGGGGAACGACAGATGATGTGCAATGGTGAGGAGTGAGGGTGCGTGAGAAAGGAATTTGCTAACAAAAAGTTCAAAATTGTTTTGTCAAATCATCGAATAGAAGTCCCCCTACGCAACACTATAAAAGCATCAATATTGCATAAATAGCACTCCCTGAGTTTTTTTTACTTAAAAAAGAACCCATAATTTTTTTCTTCTCAAATTTCTAGAAAAAGAACCCATAATCTTTTTCCTTTCAAATTGTAATGTCTAGAAAAGAGTTAGGCTCTGGTATCAATTGTTAGAATGTATGCCCAATCTCTACAAAAAATATCAATTTTGCAACCGAAATATTGCAACGGACGTATTTCCATTGCATGATTGCAATAGTAATTTTATTTGCAACGGATTTTTTTTTGCAACAGATTTTTGGCAACGGAAAGTGAAAAGATGCGTTGCAATTATGGCGGGAGCTTGGCGCCATTTTTATGAATGAATGTGCAAAATATTAGCGATCAAGTGAAGAGGAAGGGGAGGACACACTCATATATACTGTTGGAACTTTTGACATATTTTAATAGGCATTAAATAAATCAACTTGTTCCACTAGTAGTTTTAACCGTTAATTAATGGACGTAAGTTCTCTTAAACGTGATAAATATTTTTGATAACTTATATGTCAAAAATGGTAGAGGGTGAATGAGAAATTGATTCTCAGAGTTAGACCGTTAATAGAAGAATATGGTAAGGATTACAATTTTAGCAATTTTATTGAACCAATCATCTATTATAATTTTTATGTGTTGTTTAAAGTTTGTCCAATTTTCTGAAGTTATCTGTCCATTAATCTCAAATTATTCACAACAAATTTTAAACAGAGCGTAGCATAACGAATCTGTTAATGGCTATTTAATTACCACGAACATGCCATTATTGTGTCATTAATATCACTTATGATGATAAGGATTATTAGAGACTCCTAATGGTGGAGGTTACATTTTTTATAAAGCTTTGCCAATTTAATTTTAGAAAACTCTTCGTGCTCTATTAGTGAAACACTCCATATGTGAGTGATGTTTTGGGAGAGGAAAATAACTAGTTTTTCCTTTAAAGGAGAGCTAATTCTTTGAGGGTTTTTTTTGAGTTTTTTTGGGACAAATTTCTGATTATCTTCTTCAAGTTACCTGGTCGCCAACGCTCCTACGTTATTCTTGTTCGTTCGTGGAGGAGAATGGAGAGTTAAGCGTCTTCTTCAAGTTACCCGGTGTGTTGATGGCTAATGAGATGGCTCATCACATTACAGATAAAGTCAGAGGCAGGAACATTATGATTAAACTTGACACGGCAAAGGCATTTGATAAGATGTCTTGGGGTTATCTTGAAAACTCTCCATTCTCAGCCATCTAAAGAGGAGAATGGAGAAACAAAATGGGAAAATGGGGATTTCACATTCAAGGAGGCATACACTGCAGTTACAGACCACACAAATACCTCACTAGCATTTAAATATGCTTGGAACAACACCCAGATTCCCAAAATCAGATTGTTTCAGTGGAAGCTTTTGTCACACATACTACCATTTGACAATAACCTTAACAAGATTGGACTTAACTTACCCAGCATGTGTCTAAGCTGTAGG